GGGGGGCTTGAGGGAACCCCGCCTGCGACCCTCCCGGGCTGCCGAAGCCAGATGGGGGTCCCCTCTCGGGAGCCCACCCGAGCCAAGCTGGGTGTCCTGGGGCGCTAACAATAACAATAACCCCCTTGCTAAAGGCTCCGGGCAGACCCCTGAAGGGAGTGAGGGGAGGCTGGCCTGGCCGGTGCTGGACCTGCGCCACCGCTGCCTCATCCTGAGTCTATGTGGCCGCCTGGGAGCGCCTGGCCCGCAACGCCTGCTGCCACCTGGGCCTGCCTGCCGTCCACACCCTCCCGCTGCCCCCCACTGGCGTCTGTTTTCCTTTCTCATGCAAATGTGGCAAGTGATGGGCAGCGTGAGAGACAATGTAACACTCTGAACGTTCTGAGCCATTGTGGCATTTCGAATCCCGCGAGCATGAAAGTACCAACCCACAAAGCTGCAAGCCCCGCAGCAGGGATGGAAAGGCGAACCCCTTGCTCTTCCAACTCTCACGCTGCTTAAGGCTTCGTGTACGCCTGTACGGCGAGCCACCGAGTTCAATTTCCTCCGTGAGAAGAGAACGCTTTCCCTCTGCTCTCCCCCACCCAAACTCTCCTCCTCGAAAGGGGCGGGGCTGAGAGACAGGAGCTCCTCGAACGCCACGGCGGGCGGTTCTTAGGGAAATTACCCTCCTCTCTGACTGTTTTGAAATAACATAATAAAATATACTAAGGGCAATTTGGGATTCATTTCACTCCAAATGCAAAGCTGGGAGATGCAGAGAATGATTGGAAAGTTGTCGTTTCTATAACTGAATCTTTTTCGAATAACCAGGAAGAAGACGATTCTAAATTGTCGAATAGAATAGAATAGAATAGAATATAGAGCAGAGCAGAGCAGAGTAGAAAATATGGAATGGAATGGAACGGAACAGAACAGAATAGAATATAGAGCAGAGCAGAGCAGAGCAGAGCAGAGTAGAAAATATGGAATGGAATGGAATATAATAGGACAGAACAGAACAGAATAGAATATAGAGCAAAGTAGAGCAGGGCAGAGCAGAGTAAAGTAGAGTAGAAAATAGAATAGAATAGAATAGAATAGACAATATGGAAGAGAGAATAGAATAGACAATATGGAATAGAGTAGAGTAGAATAGAATAGAATTATGTTCAATTTGTAACAATGAAAATATATCCTGCATATCAGATATTTACATTACGATTCATAACAGTAGCAAAATTACAGTTATGAAGTAGCAACGAAAATAATTTTATGGTTGGGGGTCACCACAACATGAGGAACTGTATTAAAGGGTCGCGGCATTAGGAAGGTTGAGAACCACTGGTATAAGACGACTGGGCGTATAAGACGACCCCCGACTTTTGAGAAGATTTTCAGGGTTTAGAAAGTCGTCTTATACGCCGGAAAATACGGTAAATGCATGGAGTGTGGAACAGGATTCCATGAAATTGCATCCCTTGTGAGACATAAGAGAATCCACACAGGTGATGCGCCATATAAATGCATTGAGGATGGAAAGTGGTTCGACAAAAAGAGTAATCTTACATCCTATAGAAGGATCCACACGGGGGATAAGCCCTATAAATGCATGGAGTGTGGAAAGACCTTTAGACACAGCAGTAATCTTACTGCCCACAAAAGGATCCACACAGAAGGGAAGCCATTTAAATGCATGGAGTGTGGAAAGGGCTTCAGTGGACTCAGTGTTCTTACACCCCATAAAAGGATCCACACAGGAGAGAAACCATATAAATGCATGGAGTGTGGAAAAGGCTTCAGCCAACATGGTAATCTTACTTCCCATAAAAGAATCCACACAGGGGAGAAACCATTTAAATGCATGGAATGTGGAAAGTGCTTTTGTGATAATGCATCCCTTATGAGACATAAAAGGATCCACACCAAGGAGAAACCATACAAATGCTTGGAGTATGGAAAGGGTTTCCTCATAAACAGTAAACTTACTACTCATAAAAGGATCCACACTGGGGAGAAACCATATAAATGCATGGATTGTGGAAAGAGCTTCAGCCAAAACAGTGGTCTTATTTTCCATAAAAGGATCCACACAGGGGAGAAACCATATAAATGCATGGAATGTGGAAAGGGATTCAACAAACATAGTGATCTTACTTCCCATAGAAGGATCCACACAGGAGAGAAGCCATATAAATGCACAGAGTGTGGAAAGTCTTTTAGTCACAGCCATCACCTTACTCGTCATAAAAGATCCACACAAGGGAGAAGCCAATATAAATGCATGGATTTGGAGAGAGCTTTTGGAGGAGCAATGACCTAATTTCCCATACACACTTGGGTGGGAACGTATGCAAAGTCTAGAAAGTTAGTTAAATGTATGAATTTTCCTATTTATAGAGACTGAGTTTGCAAAGGAAAATTTTTCTTGGTTTGACCCTCTCAACTGGCTGAAAAAAGATGTGGATTTACTAATGAAAATACCAATGGGCAAGGTGCCGTTTTAATTACAAACTGGATTTTTGAAGGTATCTATATTTAAGTACAATTTATTTTCTTGTCAAAGGAAAGATTCCTACTCTCCAGTTGTTAGTTCTTCCCACTTGATCACACTCAGAAGAACTTAAACTTTCCTTCTTTTTCCTAATCTTTCAATTATTTCCCCTTCTTTTCTCATTCATTAATACACACTCAATTGATTAGAATATTTTTCTCTGTCCTCAGAAAAGTTGGAAATGTGCAGTGGAGAGATTCTAGGCTTTTAATATATATATATAATCCAAAGAGAATTCCAAATCAATGTTTAGAGTGAGGTGGAATATGATATCGAAGTGTCCCATTGAGTAATTGTGATATTGCATTAATAGTGACAAGTAAGAGGTTTTCTACTTTGAATTTTTCATGCTTCCCCTCCCTCTCTTTTTGTCCCAAATGAGGGATATTCAGGAAAATAACAAAGTGATGTGACTGTGCTGATATTGCAAATGATCAAGCAAGAAAGACGATACTTGCAAATCAGTGGGACAAAAATAAATAAGGTGGAGTTAAGAAAAATTATTTCAGAAAACTACTTCTGGTCCTCCTGACTAGAAATGAGAAGAGAGCTTCTTCTGGGTCTGGGATGTGAAGATCCCAAAACAGAATCAAAGTTGCATCCATGATTTAGAACTGTGGCTTGAGCCAGATACTATGTATAGAGAAACATGGAGCCTTATTTAGTGAAAGGCCTCATAATCTGAGGGAATTGTCACAGGCACATCAACTTACAGTGCATGAGAAGATCTGAGAGGATGAAGGATTCCTCTCTCACAAAAGGGGCTAGAATGAAGAGAAGCCCCCAAAATGCATGCGCAAAATATTTTTCTAAGCATTACGGCCATATTTTAATTGTCTAAAGCGTAATGAAGACTATGAAGAAGTCTAAGTTTGATTTAAATAAAATTAATTAAATATGAGTGGTGTAGTTACTTTCTAGTCATGTATTAAGCTCTTTTTCTCTTCAATTGCATTAAAAATATAATAACATTCAAATATTCGGATGTATTTGGGGCATAATCAGGATTTTAGAGGCTCGTGCTGGTTTGAATTTGTTTATTTAAGGTTTTGCTCATTTTTGAGGCCTCCTTGAATCTCTGGAGATCCTTCAGAGTAGCAGTTTTTGAGGAAAGTGAGTTTTGATCCTCCACAGAAATGTTCTTAATATTCACAAGATCAAAAATGATTCCTACACATTAGTAAGTGGAATATCTAGAAACTTCAATTGTCAGGGATGAAACTTTGGCAGCTGTGTGCCTCTGCATTTCAACTTGCCTGTAGAAGTAAGCAGGGGAGGGTTAAACGGAGAAACAAAACTTCTACAATTCTGCTGAAGACCGTGACAGCCTGAAATCTTATTTTTATTATGATTTTTATTTACTTATAGCATAAAATACAAAGCTACAAAAGTAAATAATAGGGAACAAAAGTGGGGGAAAGGGAAAAAGAGAAGTGTGGAAGGGGGGGAGGAAAAAAGCGTTGACTTCCGACTCCCTCTGTTGCAGTAAAATGAGGCATTAACATCGAACCTCAACTTTTTGCATTTCTATAGTAGTATGAACTGGCCATTTCTATGTCAACAAATCAATCTAATGAGTAAAACCTTAAATCATAGTACTGTATAATTTTTTTCCACCTCAAGGACAAAGTCCAGAAGCAATTTCAAAGTACAAACAAAAGTTCTTATATTCATTTATCAAACCGGTCAATTTAACCATCTCTGCTAATTCCGAATGGTAGCCATTCGTCCATGATGGAAATCAAAACATCCTTCAATTTTTGTGTATAGAGCAGTCTTGCTGCCGTCGACATATAGAGTTCAAATTTTTTTCCAAGTCTTTTTCTGTTAGACCCAGAAGGACAGTTTCTGGTTTAATCTTTATGTTTACGTTAAGAATTTTCTGCATTAAAATAGGAAGCCTACTCCAATAAATCTTTGCTTTATCACATGTCCACCATAAATGATAAAAAGTTCCTTCTTTACATTTACATTTCCAACATTCATTTGAAATACCTTTATGCATTCTAGATAATTTATCTCGAATTAAATACCAGTGATATGTTATCTTACAATAGTTTTCTTTTAAGTTATAATTTAGTGTGAATTTTAAGCCTTTCGTCCATATATTCTCCGATTGTTCAAGCATCACATTATACCCAAAGTTCCTTGCCCACATCATACAGTGTTTTAGATGTTCACTTTCCAAATTCAATTTTAATAATGTTTTGTAGACCTTGGCAACCTACAAGGTCCCTTCCAACTATGTTACTCTGTCTGCTTTTGAATCTCTTTGAGGAAGAAAACAGCATACCATGAGATTCATCATTTGGCCACTGGAGGGCGAACGTCAGAGGTGATTTATCATAGGGGAATGGGAAGGAAATGACATCAGTACGGGGTCTTTCCGTCTAGGACGCAGCACTCTGTCTTCTTACCCTTTGAGCTTCGCAGGATTTTTAAATGGGTGCAGAAAAGTCTTGAAGAGATCCAGAGGTGGGCGGGGTAACTGGCAGGTGGGAGGGGTCTTCGCGTGCAGGCGCGGCAGAGGGTGCTCGCCTAGAGAAGGAAGGGACAGATGCCAGGTCCCCATGCAGGTGCAATTTCCTGAGTCCTGGGAGTGGGAGAGCCCGGATCCCATGCTCCCCTGCCGCCTCTCTCCACGCAGACGGCAGAGGGAAACAGGGTTCAGGACTAGCCACGTTGCCCCAGGAACAAATCCCCAGAGGGGAGGAAGGGTCCTGGGGGGATCCTTCCCGCCCCATATCCTGGAGAAAGCTCCAAAGTCGGAGATGGGGAATGCTTGGATGGCAAATCTCATGCGGGAAATAAGAAAATAGCTGCATAAGAATAAGAATCAGCTGCCTGATTCTCCTTATGTGCTGGATGACATTAAAATGGGGTTGGATTCTCAGTAGTTCAATTTGTCTTAGGAGGTTAAGTGAACCAGCACATCACCATCCTCCGTGTTTTGGGTGAATTCAGCCCCTGCAATTGTGTAGCCTGTTTGTGTTTAGGGTATGTTTTGGGAACCTACCTGTGTGTAATAGTGTGATTTAGCTCTTGAAAAGGAAATCCTGAAGAAAGGGAAGTAGAACATCCAAAGCAGGTCACCTTTTAGGCTTTTCATTTTTTTAAAACCCGAACTTTCATTGTTTGTTAACCTGTTAGAGTTTGGAAAGTTGTGTAAACCCTGCTTGTAGATAAATGCAGATCTAGGTTGTTTTTTTTTTAATAAAGCAAGCCCTACTCTATGAGAAAAAGAAATTGAAATTGATCCAAAATGCATTTTTTCAGTGTTTCAAGTCCTTGGTGGAAGTCAATCCCAAGGTTTGTACAAACACAGGTTCATGCACAGGGACTACCTTCTCAGTGCCACTGTAATCCTGTACTAGCTCAGAAAAATACTTCTTTCCATTTTCTAATTAATCTCAGATACAGAAATTGGAAGCCATTTGTGCACCCTTTTCTGGAGGCAGAGAAATTGGACAAAGATGGTTGAAAGACTTGCCTGACCTGTTACTACCAGAATGGTACTATGAATACCAGTAGAAAGGTGATTGGAGATCCACAAGATTCCCTGGATCTATTAGGAGTTGTGATACAGAATTGAGAAAGAATGAAAAGCCAATGTTTAGCAAGTGAGGAAATTGGAAAAGGCCCTTCTGATGTTCAGCTTGGGAGCTGTGGAGAGATCTGGGCAAGAACTGAGCAGAAGATCCTGGAGGAGAAAACCATCCTTTCAGAAATTGAGCCCTGGAACTTCAGGAGCTTCCAATACAAAGAGGATGAAGGTCCCCGAGGGCTTTGCAGCCGACTCCATTACTTTTGTAGTAGATGGTTGAGACCAGAAAAGCACACAAAAGCGCAGATGTTGGACCTGGTTGTTCTGGAGCAGTTCCTGGCGCTTCTGCCCCTGGAGATGGAGAGCTGGGTACGGGAGTGTGGAGCAGAGACCAGCTCCCAGGCGGTGGCCCTGGTGGAAGGCTTCCTCCTGAGCCAGGTGGTGGAGCAAAAGAAGAGGACTGACAGGCAGGTGAGAGACCTTCATTTGGGAACTCTGAAGTGGTTAGATCTAATAAACTGTGTTTGAATTCTTAACCCTTGCCTACCAGGGTCTTTAGCATTTATCATATGTGGAGATACTCTGATAATTCTTATAGGACATTGTTCTGTTATTTGTGATAATCGATCCTTTCCTGCTTCCAACCTCACTGATGGATTTCTGGGGCTTTGGAGTGGTGTTCACAGAAGAATATACTTCTTGGTGTGTATTGTCCATTCATTCTTCTTGTTGTTTCCTGTCTACTTTTTCAAGTCCTTCATGAGGGAGATCAGAGATCCTGGGAGGAGGCATCCATCAAATTCACCTCCAGAAATGTTTTTCAGGAGGATCTCTCAGAATGATCCAAATCAAGACACGACCAGAGGTAATACAAAGCTCTCCCATTCCCCAGAGTGATCTCAACTATCTCATCTTCTGTATGTCTTCTATAGAATACCACCTCCTACATTATTAACTATGCAGTTTAAAATTCTCTCTCCCTCACAGAGAAGAATAGAAGGAAGCTGGCCCCTCCTGATGGTGGAGCTGAAACAGTGGTTGAAACTCCAATTCAAGTAAGAAGAGGAAGTTTATTTGATTTGTATCTTTTTTTAAGACCAGTACTTTAAATAATTGCTAATTGTTGCCAGTTGTTATAATAATTGTACTAATGTTAATTACCCACTTTTCAAATAATACTTCATGATGCACATTTAAAAAAAAATTCTTTAACTTGGATTTGTGCAAGGATGCTCAAAACTGACTAAATATTCACACTGGCAATTACCATTTTTAAAAAACCTTTCTAGCATGCAAAGTAAATTCTAATGCCTTGATTTGTGCCTGAATTTGGAAGCCAAACTATTCAGCATTTCAAAGGCTAAGAAATGTCCTCCTCGGGAAATAAGTTACCTTTGTTACCTTCCATTCAGTCAATGTCTAGGACTACAAATAGCTTCCTTAAAATTTGAGGACTAGAACCAAATTCCTCACTGAGGAGGGTGTTGAAGATAGACAGGACTGCTGCTTTTTGATATACAATGAGCCATTTACTAAATGCTGCAAAATAATCCACACCCATAGAGTTTCCCACATTTCCATCTGCAAAAAATAAGAAGGATTGGAGTCATTGATATGTGGGGTTTCCAAGGCCCATCTGCCAGATGATTCTCTCCAGAGGTTTTTAATGGTGGACAGATGAATGAATGGTAGGTCAATCGATCCAAAGGAAATTGGGGTTATTTTCCCTGAAAGGCTCCGATAGTCCTGGAGAATCAATAAAATTGATAAAACCTACCCAAAACATTTCTTCAATGAAAAGCTTTTACTCTGTCCATTTTCTCACATAAATCCTGGAATACAAACAAGCACAGCCGTATACCTTAGTGCACGGCTTTCTTTTGGGAATTTATAAACTGTAGGACCGGGTTTTTTTGCAATTTCTCATGGGCCTTTTGTGTATTTTTTTTCCCCATCAGGAGAGCCTTGTCTCCTTCGAGGAGGTGGCTGTGTATTTCTCCGAGGAGGAATGGTCTCTGCTGGATCCTCGCCAAAAAGCGCTGCATTGGGAAGTCATGCTTGAAAATTACAGCAACGTGTCCTCTCTTGGTAAGGGTTTCCTATTCTCCAGTCAGAGTTCAGGAAGACATTTTGTAGTTATGGGCTGTTCATGCATATAGAAATTATTATTTATGCCATGCCATTGTAAGCATGTAAACATTTAATATATTGGAATCTGGCAAATATCAGAAAGCAATTATTATGACTTCCAACTGCTTGATCTTTTTCTTTAACCTTGCTATTATATTTATTTCTTTTTCCCCTTGAAGGTGATGATGGGCAGGACCATAAAGAGTCTCAGGAATCATTCCAAGGGTTCAGACGTGGAGATGCAATGGAGGAACCTGTAATTCAAATGAAATTCCAAAGGCAGGAGAGAAATCAGTCAAGTAATTGGAATAAGGAAAGCTCATCTTCCATTGATGCTCACATGCAGGAGTTTCTTGAGCAAGGAGGAAAAATACAAAAAAAACATATTGGGAAAGGTATAGGACTATCCAAAGGCACACTAGATACACATGGACATTGTACATCCCAAGCCAAAGGACAAGGTTATATATGTAAAGACAATGAAAAAAATTACAATTGGACTTCCACACTTTCTCAAGAAAATAGGTCTCTTACATCACATAAAAGTCTTCACATGGGAGAGAAGCCAAATAAAT